GGTTTCGTACTCCCGTTCACTTGATTATTGTAAGGTGCACGTGCTTGATTTTGAAAGTGCCGAGAAATATTTTAAAAGCAATCATAGAACAAAAATCTAAGCTAGGCGGGATGGTCTTGGATTGTTGATTGAAAAATTTGGACAATCAATTCAAATACTAAAAATTGGAAAATTTTATTAAATCAACCAAAAAACCAAATAAGTTCCTATAGCGACGAAATTCAGCTAAAAAACACATTGGACATAAGACGTAGTTTTGTGTTTTGCTCAAAAGATTAAAGTCGATTAAATTTGAAAAAAAATGTATTATTCCCGATATCGACATAATTGGTTTTCCCTCAAATTAAACCGTGTCGAATTTTCTTTCCGATCAAAACCCACGACTTTACAGACTTTTGATCCACCTTAAAGGTGCACTCACTCAAAAAAATTCATGGATCCACCACTCGTACCAACATAATTGTTACCTACTTTTTTGGTTGATATATATTAATACTGGTTTCGTATCATCTTCAAGTTACATATATAAAAACTTGTCATTTTGCTCAAATTGTGAGTGACATTTTGAGTTTCTAGGTAAAACATGTGATCTTTAAAAGTTTTTACTTGTAAGGAATAAGCTTGCAGATTTACAAATATTCAAACAAAATGATTAAAATTAAAATGTATACTTAATATATAAAAGAATACAAAAATAAATAAGTCGGTATCATAGTACTACCGTGGTATGCGACTTCTAATAACCAAGTTTGTATATTTAGTATGGCACTACCAACCAACTATAATTGATATGATTTGGTACATGTTAACTTTTTTGGTTTGATTTGATACAAATTTATCACCCCTAGTTGTAAGATGTGATACATGCTCTATGCAAATTTTAAGTGTACCTCTTGGATTATCAAGGGGTGTTTGGGATTGCTTATAAAAAAACTTATTGATTTATTCCGGTGTGGTATCGGTAATAAACACTTTTGAGTGTTCGGATAAACACCATATATCGATGCCAAACCGATAATAAGGAGTTTTTAAAGAAGTTAAACCCTTCTGACTTATAATAAGTTGATAAATGCTTTTATAGAAAAATATAAGTTGTTTCAAATAAGCAATCCAAACACCCCCTAATTAATCAGAGTTTGCAAACACGGGATGATACTTGAAAGGTAAGTTTTAATCTACATTCATTAGAAAAATCCAAAGACGTAAAAGTTTGTAGTTAAATTTTAATTAAAATGAATTGAACAGATACCTAAGATCCTATAACAAAAATGAAAATTTTGATGTGTACATGTGTCGGGATTCGACAACAATATCATTGTTGGTGTTTTCGAATATGAATGTGTTGATCACGACGAGTTTAGGTAGGGAGGGTAGTGGGGAAGCAAGAAAATGATGATGATGATGGCAATGGGAAAGGTGGGGTTGGAAATATGGTATAAGTTTGAGTTATACATTTTTATTAAGTGGGTGAACCGTTATGGTCGTGTCGATAATTCTTATTTTTGGACATGTTTTTCTGGGATGTATCAATTAAAAAATACTCGATATACAGATTCTACCTATTAAATATGTTGCATACTTTACTTATTTTGACAGATTAATTAAATAAATAAATTCAACTAAGAATAAAAATTTATTTAAATTTTCAATGATTAAATCTATATTATATTATAAAGGATTTGACAAAAACTCTTAAAAACCAGTTTTTATGTATGAAGTATTGTTTATTAATGTATATTACTTAAAATTCAAGGTTACAAACAAACTGTGCGTAAGTACAAATTATTAAAGCTTCATGTTTGAATTTGTGTAACTAACTACAGATAATCATAATCAAATACAAGATAAACATTTCATTTTAAATATAAAAAATCTAAAATATAAATATAATTAGGATAATCATTGAGTTATAACATAATACTTAATTGTTATCTTTATAAAAAAATTCTATATAATTAAATAAAAAATAAATCACTTTGTTATTAAATATAAATTTAAATTATAATAAAAGAACTTAATTAAAAAAATTACACAAAAAACAATAACTTTTAGATAGTTAATTTGATACTAATATTGATATATTTATTGTCGAAATTTTATGATATTTTCAAATTTATATTTTATTCAAAAATAAAAACATTATCCATTTCTCAAAACCACATAAAAACCGTATTAAAACATCTACAGAGATGGAACAAAATGAAACATTAAAGTCGAGATATATCTCGCTGCATTACGTGAGTACCTTATAGTATTTCTAATATATTCTTTAAATTTATTAAATTTTTACGTTTACAATTTGTTATTGTATTCATATAACTTTTTAAATTTTCATATTTGAACTTAATAATCATAATTTGCAAAAAAACATTAATCCATAATTTAAAAAATATTAATCCATAATTTGGTTGGGAGCTTCTATCATAATATACAATATGACATCAAGACTTGGGTATACTACCATGTTAACCTTTATGACTTCACTTTAAGACTTGACTTGCACTATAATACGTTATGGCATGTCATGACACATTATTTTATAAAGTATTATGCTACTTTAATATATAACTTGAAGGATAAATGATAATTATGTACGAGAGACTTAGGACTTAAATAATCATAAAAAGAAAACTTAAAAACTAAAACCTTAAATAAGTAAATATTTACTTACATTCTCGTACATGAAAAGTCTAACACGGATTCTTTGAAAATTAAATAAAGTAGTGAGTAGAGATTCAAGAGATTTAATCCCGATTTTACACTCTTGATATCATTCTCTTATAAGCTATATATTTGGTATCAGTGGTTCTTTTTTTTTTTTTTGGTTTTATTTCTTTATATGAATTTAATTTTTTCAACAATATTGTTCAAAACACTAACACAAGCAAGTGTGTGTGTGTATATATATATATATATATATATATAGGGTTTATTTCATATACAACCTATTATATTTGTACAACCAATGCAACCCGATAAATTAAAATATTTATGGAAATTATTAGAGTTCATTTATTATGATTTAAAAATTTATGGAAGATGAATACGGTTCATTAATTATGATTAATACATTATATTAGGAAATAATCAAAATATCTATAAAATCATATATTAATCAAATGAAATGGACGGTTGAGATTGAGTTGTATTGGTTGCACAAATGACAAGGGTTGTATAATAACCAACCTCTCTCTCTCTCTCTCTCTCTCTCTCTATATATATATATATATATATAAGCGTTCAAATAAAAACCACCCAATTTGTGTAAACTGTGAAAACCACATTCAACCAATCATAATTTTTCATTTTGTTCATTTTTTTGTAATTATGAGAGATTGATTAACCATTTTTATTGTGAAGGGTGTTAATCATGGATATTATCGTCTTCATTATTTTAATTTTAGAGAAATACATGAAACAGTTTCATTAAATATTATATGAAACAATTTCATCACCATATATGAAATAAATTCATCAAAAAAAGTATTATATGAAACAATTTCACAAGATTAAACAATTTCATGAAAAAATTTCATAAGATTAAACAATGAAATGGACGTATGATGGTGGTTTGTACGGTTTACACAAATGAGGGCAGTTTTCATTTGATCGCTCCTATATATATATATATATATATATGTCGCCTTAGGGCACGCCTTAAAAACCGTCTTTGCTTGGCCATAACTCGTAAGCTTGAGGCTTGACCTAGCCGTCATTCCACGTCTCACATCATTTACCTTGGCCACATCTATAGTCAGAAATCAACAAATAGAAGGTGGTGTTTGTTTTTTAAGAGGTGTTGAAATCTGAAGTCTGAAGTCTGATTTCACTTATGATTTATAAGAGATGGTCCTGAAGTCTGAAATCTAGACCAATAAGATTGTTTATTTTTACGTCTAAAATCTGAATTGGTCAAAATAGTGCAAAAATATAAAAGATAAATAATTTTTTACAGAAATATATAAGATAAATAGTTTTTGCCAACAAATTTCTTCCAGACACTAAAATATGAACCATTTGATAGAGGGCGGATAATGATTAAGAGGTATTAAGGTATACGTTTACCACTTAAAATTTCAGATGATATTTAGAGCTTTTAAACTCTTATTTTAGAAATAAAACAAACGCTCTTGATACTCAAACGTCTGAACGAATCAGACTTTAGAGGTATTAAGAGGTAATTTTGAACAAACAAACATACCCTAATTCTTTAGTCGAACAATCTTGATCAATCATGACAATCGGCTAACGACCGTAAAAATTGCGATTATATTGAACACAAATCAACATGAGGCACCAATCTACACCAAATCTGTAACATTTAGCAAACCTACAATGTTGTTCTAGGAAATTCATCAGATGTGATAAAAAAGAAGTCCAATTATAAAGAAGTAGACTACTGGGTAATAAACCATTGAGTTTAATCGACATATGATTTTTATTAGTGTTGATCTTTCATTTATGATTCATCTAAGGGTGGAGATCCCTTTTCGACCTTCTCATCATAACTTTTGTTTCACCGAAACCCAACCCCGATATATTGTTAATGATTTATTTGTTTCTATTTCGTATAAAATTACATGTGATATTGTCGATAAATTAATGTGGTTTACAATATAAAAATATCATATATGATATTGTAGATGGATGCATTTATTATGAGATTTGAACCCAAAAGTAATTAATACAAATATCACATCTAATATTGAGTGAAAAGTAAATAATGAGGTCAACATAGAAAAATCATAAAAAACGCTTTTCATGGGAATTGATCTGGTGTACCTCATTAGTGTTAATATTTAATTATGATTGAAGTAGGAATCAAACATCGTTACAAACTACATAAACGTCTTTTAACTTCGGCTAGATAATCATACAAACCACCCACCTCACCCCCAACAATCACAAATCAACAACGATTAGAATCCCGAGCCGTGGGAACATGGTTACGTGGGTTCATATCCGGTTGTCGAGTTTTCGGAGATCGAATTGGGTCTGAACTACGCCTCGTCCTCTTCAAGAAGGGATTCTGCACCATTACCACTTCCCCAAGCCCTCTCTTTCCACAATTTCTCAACTTCCTCGAAAGTCAACCCTTTGGTCTCCGGAACAAACATGACCACAAAACCAATAGCAGCCACTGAAACTCCCGCCAGTATCAAGAAAGTCATACCGATTCCAACAGCATCGGCAACAGAAAGGAAGCTCTGAGAAACTATCAAGTTCGATACCCAGTTCACAGTGGCCGCCATTCCCCCACACATCCCTCTATATGATTCCGAATATATTTCCGAGTTTACCGTCCACGGGACAGGCCCCATCCCCGGGGCGAAGGAAGCAATATACAGGACTAAGCCAAGAACCGCAAGCCACCTGATGTTGGCATGTCCAGATGATTCAAGGAAGAATGCAATGGACAGGAGAACCAATGATAGAATTACACCTATTAAGCTGCTGAGTGCCAATTTGCGGCGGCCAACATGGTCAATGAGGTAGATTCCAACAACTGTTCCGGCAACATTCATTAACGCGACTATTAGAGATAGTTGAAGGGCTAATTGGTTCGACCCAAAACCAGCCATCTGGACTATGGTTGGGCTATAATACATGACAGTGTTGATGCCAATGAACTGTTGAAATGCCTGCAAATCAATAACTTATATGTTACTTCTAGTAGGGCTGTTCATGGACAATATAACCCGCTAGACTTGGTCTGCCCAACCCGTTAAAAAAGGTCAAGCCCGGTCAGGCCTGACCCAACCCAAGCCCACAATGATCACCTCTAATTCCCAACTACAAGACCAAATCTACTGGCATCATAGCAAAGATGTGTCATGTTATATTTATTACCTGCAGACCAGCTCCAGCAACAAATGCAAGTCTGATTTCTTTAATTCTGAAAACATCCCGGTATCTGACAGCATTCTGGCTCCGGCATTCTTGCTCTAACGCAGCTGAAAGCTGGTGGAGTTCCTCCTTCAACCGATCAGGATCATAAATTTTTGATAGCATGGCAACAGCCTCAGAACTACTTCTCTACACAACATAAGAATGCGTCTTAGAGGGTGTTTGTTTTCAACTTAATAAGCTTAATGAACAGTTAGCTTAATTAGTTAAGTTATATTAAGGGGTTTGATTTAACTTAATACTAAGAGATTGACTTAACATGTTAAGTTAGCTCATCCTATCTTAATGTATTAAGTTAGCATATTTTTTTCCCAAAATTACCCTTGTCCTACAATATTTAATCACATCTCATTAAAAAATAAATAGTTTACCAATAAGCATAACTTAAAAATTGTAATCAAACAATAACATTTTATTGTTTTAAATATATTTGAAGTTATTAAATTTTGTGTTATGAACTCATTGAATACATATTATTTATGTCATTTTAAATAATTCATATAATTTTTATTTTTATTGTCATTTTAAGTATTTATCAAACAGTTAATTTCCATTCAACACTTGCGTAGACATAAGGTTAAAATGGTAAGTTTTGTTGTTCAAATATTTATTCAAAACAAAAGTCAAATAACAATTTATTTTAATTTATCTAGACAGATTAATTCGTAGATAGAACTTAATAGATTTAGAACTTAATAGATTTAGAACTTAATGGATAAAAAATCAAACAACCCCTTAGATAGATATATGAATATGCACACACAGACGAAGATATAAAAGACCAAAACGAAGTTGAAATGCAAAATGTTTTACGTTCTTGTAAAGCCAACGTGGAGACTCGGGCAAAAGCAACATCAATGAAAACTGAAGAATCGCTGGTACCGCAGCTATTCCAAGCATCCATCGCCAAGTCCCACGAACCTGTCGACCATCATTCACCCGAAGTCAGAAAGAAACTTAGAGCTACGATCAATCTATTAGGGTGCGTTTGGTACGAGTGACAGAACATGGACAAGAAGGTATAAAAACTTATTGTCCCATGTTTGGCGCAACATTAGATGGATACAGGATCTGAGCCGGATAAAAATACAATTTTCTATCCTATCAAAATAGGTTGAACAAAATCATGAAGATGTGACAAAATTGGTAAATTACAAAACTACCCATATCGAATTAAAACCCTAAACCACCTTCCAAAATTCTTTCTCCCGTCTTGTTTCGTCCGTCCGCATATCAAACGCACCCAATAGGAAAGATTTTGAAATGGTTAAGCAAGAAAAATCCAACCTCGGTGAAGCCAAGATTAACAAGATATGAAAGAAATTGTCCACTAGTGATCATAAGCACATTGGTGCTCACAAGGCCTCCCCGTATTTCTGATGGCGCTACTTCTGCAATATACATTGGAGCAGTAACAGAAGCCACACCGACACCCAGCCCAACCAAGAACCGCCCAAATAAAAGAACATATGGATCGGGTGCAGTGGCCATCAAAAAGGATCCAAGCACAAAAATCACATCGGCAATAAGAGTAGCACTCTTACGTCCATATAAATCATTTATCCACCCACCAGATGCGGCTCCAAAAATTGCACCAAGTAGAGCCATGCTAACAATTGTCTCCTGTATATATATGAAATAATGAAGTCAAAGACTGAAACAACGGTTTGTTAAACCTGTTAAAAGTAGTGTTTTCCGATAAACATTTTAAGGAATTTGAATGCCAAGAAAGAGGTATCACGTTGGTAAAGTCGAGGTTGAGACTTGGCTGCTAGTAGTACACTTGTGCTTCTAGATGACATGCCACCCATTAAGTAGTTAATAATTGAACTTGTACCTGTAAGACACTACTTTGATCGACTTCCTCAAATTCATCACGGATGTACAGAAGGGCTCCTGATACAACTCCTGAAACAAATGTTTCAATCTCAAAAGAATGAGCACAATTTTAGAGTAATCCCATGGCAAAGGGGGTAACCCCCAAGTCAACCCACACAACTTCGCCCCAACAACATCATGTGAGAGGCAAATCAGATACGCAACAGCTTGTTAGGTGCTAGTTTAAGTGTCTAGTGCCCACCAGAAACCCAATTCCCAAAGGAATTTGTCTGTTTGTGCAATTATACCATCTCGGAACCAACTGTGCAAATATTTAGCTTGTTGGTAATTCATATTATCCTCTAGATGGTAATAACATGGAGTGATTGATTCAAATTTTGTCCCTTCCCTACTAAAGAAAGGATTTTCTTCCATTCCTTAGAAACATTGGGAAATCAATTCCTTCATAATTTTAGCAACAATTTTTATGTATGCATACTCAGAAAATTGAAGAACATGGGGATGCCAATTTCCATAACCTACAAACGAATAAATTTTCGTTCACTCGTGTATGATGTATAACGCATAGAGTCGGACCAAAAGGAGGGGGTAGGGGTGTTCTGTATTCCTGGTCCTCCTGTGGCTGGACCACAAACCATAAAAACAACAAAGGTTAAAATAAAAAAGGGCACACGAAATAGTCGATGACCAAATTCAAATTCAAATGGAATATTTCAACTAAAGCAATGAGATGCTTGGATCTTAAATGAAAATTTCCTCTAATCCGATGATAAAGAATGGTAAGATCATCTCCAACTCTAACACGAGAAAGAACACCAAATTGGTATATATGCCGTTTTATAAGGAAAACGGATATATATATATATATATATATATATATATATATATATATATATGGGCCTAATCAAATGAGAACTAATTAGTTTGTGGTAACTGTGAGAACCAAC